GGCACAGAGACGAGACTACTACAGCTAAGAGATCAAAGCCAAGAGTGGCATAAATATAGAGAAAGAGCCATCCAGGAAAACAAGCATACCTACTCTGCTAGATTTCCCCTTGCTTACCCTAAGGCAATCCAAATCCCAAGAGGTACACCAAGGGAAATCTCTAGCGCCTTCTTCTCTCTCAAGCTAGGCCACGGATACTTTAACGCCTATCTAGAGAGAGTGAAAAGGAGAAACTCAAACCTCTGCGATTGCGGGAGAGTACAGACACCAGATCACCTTCTCCTATACTGCTGGCACTACAACATAGAAAGGCAAGCGCTAAAAGCAACTCTTCGCGAGAACTACCTAACAATCCAACTACTCCTCCACACTAGCAAAGGCAGAGAGGCGACTTTAGCTTTCATTGCTAAAACTAGAGTAGGGACTAGAGGCTGGCATCTAGGCTAAGAACAAGATAACTAAAAATAAGCGAGAACAGAGAGACACTACCTAAAACTAATAATAACGAACAAACTTTCTTAAGTTACTTTCCTTAGCCCTAAAAGAGCTCGCTAGAAGACAGCCCTGCTGTCTAACATCTCTTCCTGTTTACTAAACTGCTCTTCAGCAACTGGAGTCTGCTTTAAGCGCAGCTAGAAGCGACTAAACCGCAGCACAATAGCAGTACTATACAGAGAACACTCTCACTTTAAACAAATTGTACCTAGAACGGCCTCTGGCCAAAGTCTTACATAGTCACTGACTGCAGATAGACTCTAATGGAATAATAATAATAATAATAACTAAAGGAGCAAAGTTTGTGCCTATAGAAGAGACTATTACGGTAGATAAATGCGCGTATGAAGTCTGGAAGGCACTAGTATTGAAGCATGGGATACCTAAGGAATTTATCACAGACAGAGATAAGCTATTCACGTTGAAGCATTGGTCGACGTTTTTAGCAAAGATAGGAATTAAGAAAAAGCTATTAACTAGCTTCTACCTAGAGACAGATAGACAGACGGAACGAACAAACTAGACGCTAGAGGAGTATTTGCGATTCTACACTAACAAGCTGCAAGATAACTAGGTTAAGCTCTTGCTAACAGCACAATTGGCGTACAATAGTAGAAAATTGGCAACGACGAAATACTCTCCGCACTACGCGAACTATAGATATAAGCTAGTTGCTCATTGAGATCTAAAGGATATTGAAAGCATTGCAGTTAGAGCGGACGACAAAGCTTAACTAATGCGAGAATTGCACGAGCAATTAAGCAAGAATATAGCTTATAGAAACCTTACGGCATCTAAGGCTGCAAATAAGTAAAGGATTAAAGGACTAACCTTTAAGAAAGAGAACAAAGTCTTCTTATTACAACAAAACCTAAAGACTAGGCGGCTAAGCAAGAAACTAGATAATCTCCAATTAGGACCGTTTGAAATCCTAGAGACAATTAGACTAGTAAACTATAAACTCTAGCTACTACTAGGCATGCGCATACATAATGTGTTCTATAAGAAACTATTAGAACTAGCACCCTAAAACGCTAAGCTAATAGACGACATAGAGCTTAAAGACAACGAGTACGTAGTTGAGGAAATTAAGGACCTATGGAAAATCGGCAGTTAGTGGAAGTACTTGGTCAAGTAGCAGGGATGGCCTAAGAGCTATAACACTTGGGAACCTAAAGGAAACCTAACGAACTGCAAGTTACTAGTACGTGAGTACTATTAGAAACATCTAAAGAGGCATGAACTGGATTCTTATAGGAAAGGTAATAATTAAGAGACAAGAAAGGGTTGTAAGAAGAGGAATAATTAGCCTATAACTAGCCTGGGTTAGTTAACTGTGCGGGTAGCGATGGTTCGGTTGTTGGAAATCCTATACTAGGGGCAGAACTCCCCTTAGCCTCCTCTTTTTTACGGTTCTAAAGATTTAAAAGGGCGTGATTACGATTAGCGTATGCTTGCTCTCGCTCCTCAACCTCTAGGAGCTCGCGACGAAGTCGCGCAGTCTGTTCCTTAGAACAAGCAAGCTTAAGACGCTTTTGACGCTTCTTAGCCTCTACCTTTTCCTACTCCTCTTTAGTCACAAACAAGCTACACTTAGCCTTTATAGCAATACAACTAGCGCACTGCCTAGACGCAGTATCCACAAAGCAATAAAGATTCTTCTTCTCACAGCGCTTACAGCGGAAAGTTATCTCTTTTCCCTAACAGCAAATCTTGTTAGACTAAGCCTAGCGACGTTGAGTTGAAGTTAACACGGTATCGCGAGCGGAAGACGGAACCTTGGGCATAGTTAGGAAGGCTAGAGGGAAGGGATGGATACAATGGCCTGGGGCCTACCGACCTTATATGCAGCCCACGCCTCACGAATCGGCGCGGGATAATGATAACCTAGGGTATCGGGACGATACGCCTAAGAGGGGGGATAATGTTACAAGTAACAAGAAGGATTCTCTCCTTGACGCGGGGTGACGAGGTTGAACACCAACCACGTCCACGTTAGAAGGTAATAACATCGCGGGGCTTGTGGTCACGTGATGTGTGCTCCCGCCAAGAGCCCTGCTCCCGGAGCACGGGTGGCCTTGGGAGAATTGTGCTCCCACTGCTCCCATAGTAGAGGGAGAATAGGGAGCATTAGGACAGAACACGATAGGTATAAGAATAGGTTAGATTTCATTATTACACTTGTTGTGGTCAACTCTCATAAGTTCTTCTCTTACATAGATTGATACTTAGTTATTCTATCTTCTAATAGAATTAGTTTGTCTTACTAACCTAGTTAACTCCTATAACTTCTCTCCACCTTATCGCCAGACAATTACCTCACGGATACTTCAGCCAAATAGCCTCGCCCTAACCCGGACCGAGACTAGGTAAGTATAGTTTCTGATAGTGTTAGGAAACCCCATGTAACAACGACTACCTAGACTTCAAGAAGCTTGAAGTCTTGTTACTGCCTTTTTGGCTATGGATGGCGTAAGTAGTCGTACGCTCGGCCCGTTGGGCCCGCCCATTACAATAGATATAGCTATTAGTGCTATATTGAGTAAAGGGTAGTATAACTATGAAAGTTCTAAATGTTAAGCTCTTATATGTTAAGGAACTAAGTTTTGAGTTATATAGTAGCAGTAAGTTATAATAGTAGTAAGGTAATAGTAATAAGGAACTAATAATAGCATCTTTTGTAACGGGTCGAGTCCTATTAGACTGCGCACGCAACTACAACGCGCCCACCGCGCCAAAAAGGCTGGCACAAGATATCAGAGCTGCTGATATCGTTGCGTAGTCGATACATAAGATAGCCACCGCTATCTGTACTGTAGCGGGCTACCTAGCCCGTTACATCTTTCTGATATATAAAATAATACTTTCTTTATCATATAGTTATCTATTTTATTACTTTTATCATTAACTTAGAAGCTTTATTCTATTAGTAAGACTTTTCAAGTGTAGATATAATGATATTACTATATTGTATAAGTGCGGTAGGGATAGTAATATGTTACAAGTAACAAGCAGAAGGATTCTTCCCTTGTTGGAATGGCGAGTGGTTGGAGAACCACTCAGGATGACACCAAAGGCACGACGACAACCCCGCGGTGATCACGTGACGTGTGCTCCCGCCAAGAGCCATGCTCCCGCCAAGGAAGGGAGAATGGGAGGCCTTGGGAGAATTGTGCTCCCACTGCTCCCATGGGAACATGCTTCCGAGGGAGAATAGGGA